TTCGGTTAGCGATCGTCAAAACCGGGGTAACTTGTGTTGGCGCAGCGATTATTAGGTCACGTTTTTCCGTCCTCACATTTCCTTATAGATCCGAAATACCTTTTCCGATCTTAAATGTAACTTATTACATTTATTGCACTTCGTGCATTTTTCACGTGACCAATTACCGGGTCCCCGTGTTACATTCTGGGACTCACAATATCATGTTGCGATTTGCAAAATTATTTATTTTTGATCAAATTTGTTGCACACCTATACAATTAGGATAGCTGCACGACTTAGTCGCGCTAAAACCAGGAACGTAATAAGCTTAAAATATAAGATTGCATGATTATATTTGCAATATGTGCGCGGTGCTACGTGGTACCCATGTGATTAGTGATCGGGTACGTGTTGATTGAATGTTGTGATCTACCCTATAAAAAAAAATTAAAAATCGTATTCAGATTTTGCTCAGATTATTATTTTTAAAAATGAGCATTTTTCGTAATAAGCGCCTATATAAAGCCTTTTTAAATTCCGGAATATTTCTAAATTTCCTGAATATTTCCGATTTCCTGGTTATAATTTTTTTTTTTCAGCATAAGATTATAACCAGGAAATAGAGTCCCGAACCGGTTTATAATAACCCGGGTCACCCGTGTTAAAACGGGTGACCTGGGTCCAAAATTTGTAACCGGGTCAAATCGGGTTAGATATGTCATTAACCAAAAAAGTGCGTCGATAATAAAATAGATCAGATCAATTTTTTTTTTTTTTGATTTCGCTTTTTTTTTGATCTTGCTTTTTTTTTTTAAGCGATTTCCTATTTTTCTTTCGCAATTTTCAATACTTCCAGTATAGTATACAATAATACTCAGCAGTCTTTATCTCTTAGAAATTAATCCAAATAATCAAGTATTTTTGGTTCCCTATCTTTTTTTTTTTTTTTTTTTTTTGTGCAATTTTCAATAATTCCAATACTTCATAATCAGATACAATAATATCTCTTTTATCTCAGCTGGTTTTTTTTATAATGAGTAATAACAAAAGTGATAATGATGATACTTATGAATTTTTAGAAGAGCCTACATCTTTTGAATTCCCAGAAGAATTTACATCCTTTAATTCGAATTATAAGGCCAGCAATAATGTATCTGTTAGTTCTAGTAGTGCGGCACCTCTTTCAGAAGAACAACCTTCTAGCACAAAAAGAGAAAATTAAATTATCAGCAATATGCGAAGTCTAGTTGGGTGTAGAAACAATTTAAGCAGAGTAAAGATAGAATGTACGATGTGTGTGAAGTCAAGGTAATGAATTTAAGTGATAAAGAAGTTGAGTGCAGTCACAAATTTATTCATGATAGTAGTACAGGAAATATGAGCAGTTATCTTCAAAGTAAGCATGACATATATGAAAATCAGAATAAGGTAAATTTTATATTAATTAATGTTTAATATTTAATGTAATTAATTATTATATTATTGGTAAATATTTAATATTTATATGTTTATTGTATAGAATCATAATTATACTACTCAACAGACAATACATGAGGTTTTTGAACAAGTAAAAGTTATTAAAATGATAAAGAATTGCGAAATCATGGAATTCGGCAAGCAATCACTGAGTGGATTGTTGTTGTCAATATGTCATTTAATTTTATTAAGGGAAAGAGTTATCAGAAAATAATGAAAAAAATTGACCCGGCCTTTTGTTTTCCTACTGATAAGAGAATAAAAAAGAAAATTATTTGTAACTATCCCAATGCAGTTAAAAATTTAAAAAAACTATTAGATAATACATGTGAATCAGCATCTTTAATGATTGATCTGTGGACCTCTAGAAGTAAGCATGGGTATATAGACATAATACTCTATTGGTTATCAAATGATTTTAGAGTATATGATTGTTTTTTCTGTATGGAGTATATGCCATACCTGCATTCAGCTAAAAATATAATTTCAATTTTTAAAAAAAAAGTTTTTGAATTTGGGTTAGATGGAAAGATTAGTTGTGTTATAACGAATAACGGCAGTAACATGGTTAAGGTAATTAGATTGTAAAAAGAATTAAATGTTTGCCCTGTGTGACTCACACTTTGTAGCTCTCAGTTACACATGCTTTTAAAAAGTCAAATTTTTATATTAAAAGAATAAAAAAATTAGTTAATTTTTTACTAAATCACCAAAGCAAAATGAGCATCTAGATAATGCACAGCAAGAATAACAGCAGCATTTGCAAACTCAAATAATAACTCAACCAATGCGTCAAGTTCAAATGATAGTGATTTAGATAACTTGCTAGCAAATTTTGAAGAATCTATTCTACAAAGCATTGCAGATATTGAGACTCAGTAGAATTTAAAATACAATTCACGGAAGCAGCTGCTTAAATTGCATAAAGCAATTAAATAGTTAGATGCAATACTACCTTTATCTGATAATTCAGATGATAGAGCTGATGGTCGAAAGCTAAAAAAAATTACTTTTATTACCCTATGAATAGGATTTATTAAGTCAGATTATAACTTTAATAAAACTATTTGATGATGCTACCACTTATTTTAGTAGCTCGAAGTATGCTACTTTATCAATTATTTACCCTTTAATTCAAGCTCTTAAATACACATTCACTAATATTGAAATAACAGATAATATTTTATTTGAAGAGAGTAATTATAGTAAAACAAAATAGAAGTTATTAGTAGGGTTCAGCAAGTGCCGGGCATAGTGCTAAAAAAGTATAATACTTGGCATGCAGGTACTTTGTTTTTTTGGTACCATATCTGGCACTTGCAAAACCCATATGATATTAGCAATAAGTTTAACAATTTATTATATTTAGCAGATACACCAAATTTTTGTCATAAAGAATCATCTGATGATGATAGTGAAGAGTCAGATATTGACACTTCAGAAGCTTCAAGACTATTGCCAAATACAATTTTCTGAAGCTACTTCTACTAATTCAACTACTGATTTTTTACAAAATGCCCAAGTGATTAATATAACAAAAAATATCATTTATAATTCCCTATTTGATTACTAGAGTGAACCTGTAATGACTGGTTTGTTAGCATCACTTTTGGATTCTCACTTAAAAACACTCACTAGTTGGAATGATATAACTCAAGAAAAAGCTAAAGCCAAGTTAACATGCCAATTTGAGTTATTAATTGCTTTAGATAATGAACAAACAATAGCATCGATAAATATGACTTCAAAAAATAGTGATATTTGCCATGGTTGATTACACTTATCAATTTTTGGTACTTCATCAAATAATATTATATCTGGTCTCTCAGATGAATTAGAATGTTACTTAGATCCTGTACAAACTCATATTGCTAAAGATAACAAAAATCTATTTGAATAGTAGGCAAATTAGAAAACAAAATTTCTTAATGTAGCAAAATTGACTTGAAGGTACTTATCTATTCCTGCATCTTCTGTTCCCAGTGAAAGATTATTTTCAGATGCAGGTAATCTTATTACTGCTAAGTGCAATTGACTAAATCCAAAGCTTGTAAGCAAAATTATGTTTATGAAAAGAAATTCTGATGTAATTTCATTGTTTTAAATTTTTTAGTTAATAAAAAGAATTTAAAACCTACAAAATATATAACACGTGATTATAGTATTTATTTAATCAATTTATAGATAAAAAAAAAAATATGAATAAATTAAATAAATATTAGAAAGAAGATATAATAATATTGAGATATTAAATTGTTACATAGTATTTGGTTATTTGCTTGTTTTTTTAAAATCATTTTTAGAAATTTAATTAGTTTCTTAATTAATATATATAACCCAGTTTTACTTAGATCACTCAATTTTAATTTATATGGGTAACCAAGGTTAGAAAATTGTATCCAGGTTTGATCTCTACCAGGAAATCAAAAATATTCAGAAAATTTAGAAATATTTCAGAATTTAAAAGGGTTTTATATAGGTTCTTATTACAAAAAATACTTATTTTTAAAAATAATGATCTGAACAAAATCTGAATATGATTTTTAATTTTTTTTTATAGGGCTAATTTATACATAATCTATATCGGGTGATTATGATTTAATTAAAAGTCTAAAATAGTGATTGCATGAACAATGCAGTAATCAATTGCAGTTAGTATAATAATAATATATAAAGTATTAATCCAAATAGGGAAGTGCCTTATTTAGATTCTTAGTGAAATAAACTTTTGTTCTTAGTGAATAAACTATTATCTCTGTGAATACATTATCAGTGACAGTATCTGGTATGATACTCCAGTTATCATATACATTAGCCAAGAGAGTAAAGACTCATAGTAAAGTCAATGAATACACAGGAGTGTTGGTAAACTCCATGACAGTATATTTATTATATTGAATTATAAGAATTTTGATTTAATACTATTGGTTTATTGGAAGTCATTAAATAGTGCTTCAACCTTACAAAATTTTAGCATTAGTTTTGCAAAATATAAAGCAATCACAGATTATAGTTTTTCATTTCAACTTAAAATTATACTTTTTATTTATTCTAGAATTTCAATAGTCAATAACTTGAGCATATTCATGCATCTCGTTCAGTAGATTAGATGCAAATTTTTAATTAAATAAATTGACAAAGTGAGCTGTATCTAGATTAATAGCCAGATAGATGCTTGAAAGCCTCTTAAATACATTAGCAAGTTGCTTTTTTTATAAAATCTACATAGATCTATAACTTTATATAAATATGATATAGAATATTATTTAAAAATTATATGTATTAATTTTTATAAATTATTTAATATATAACTTATATAAATATAATTTTATAAAAAAAATATTATATAAATATTAAAAATTTCTAAGCTTATACTAGTGTATAAACATGGGTATTAATTATTTAATTTTAATATATAATTTCATAAAAAAAAAACTATCTAATATTAGAGTTAGAGAGTATTTTATATTAAAATTTTGCATAGATTACTTTTGTTAGAACCCCCAAAGTAGTTTATAAGCAAAATTTTGAGTAATATCAATACCCTGTGAATACACACTAGTGTACAAATAGTAATTCTCATAAATATTATACTGTATATTTATAAATTTTATGTGTTATAAATTAAGTAACTTTTATATACCACAATACACAGGTCGAATGATTCCATACCAGTTAACTATCGGGTTCCTGATAGGTCACCTATTTTTGTATTATAGAAACATGGTAGTTTACCGGTAAAGCTTACCTAAATGTATTCGATTTGTCTCTGATTGTAAACAGATCTTTGGCGCAGATAGGGCACCATTTGGTAATATATATGTTACGAATCATATTCATATCGGTTACCCGACATTTATCAGAATTGTATCCTATTGTTTACAATGAGACTATAAAAATAGGACACTATTTGGTAATATAAATAGTACAGATCGGAATCGGATGATTTTTGTACCATACAATTCGTCTCAAAGAGACAAATCAAATAGTGCAAAAATTATTTAATTCCGATCACTGGATCACAAAATATTTTTTATTTGACCACAATACCCCTGTAAACAATACCCCGTCTCCCTTATATGTTACTTATTAAGTAATTAAAATCGCACGTTTTTCTGTACCCAGGGATGGACTTATCTAAATTAGGGAAGTCGGTAATTTAAATTACATTTGTTAAGATTTAAGAAACTTATATTGGTCGTTAATCTTTATATTGTAAGGAAACAAGCGGATATCTGTATATCTGCTAAATTTAAATGGCGAAAAAAATATCGAATTAGAATCGGAGTTAAAAATCTAAATCTCATTCGTGCAATACAATATGCAAGAAGTAATATAGCAATTTTCTCTTCACGAAATTTAATTGCAAAATTGATCATTAATTTTATGAAATTTTGGTTTTTGCCGGCAAAGAAATTTGGCGGTCAAAAAAAATGCCAAGTTCATATGTTTTTTTTTTTGCCCGAAAAGGCCAAACCAAATTTGGTTTAGCCAATGAAATTACCGACACTGATAATAATATGGGTGTTGTCAATAGAATAAGCCCATTTTTTTATATTGTATCCCTCCGAAGTGAACCCATCTTTTTTGCTATAAGGTTGCAATACTTAATTACTTATTTCTATATTGTAGGGAGTGCTTATTTTCGGGTACAGTACACTATATATGAATTGTAGTGGGTGGTGAACAAAGTTTTGTATAAATCAATTTTAAGTAATGATTAAAATAAAATTTCAACTTAAAAGTTCATTAAAAAAAATGTAAAAATGGGCTGTTTCTATTAACAACACCCCATTTATGCAATGTTCTTAAAGTTTATCGTCGTACGTATGACGCAGAGAAAATTAACAGAGATACTGATAAAAAGAGGATGATATTCAATATCTTCAATAGAAATAGAATGATAAGCCAAGAATAATGTGGATACAGTTACGTAAAGCCTAAATAAAAATTTTGCAGTATGCATAGATAGTTGTTATTATATAAATATTATTACAGTTTTTCAATATCTTGGCGTAGAAATACCAAGAATAATGTACTAAAACTTTAATAAAATTTGCTGTATGCATAGATAGTTATTATTATATATATACATATTATTTCAGTTTTTCTAAATGCACATTCTCTAATTAAAGTTCTTACTCAGGCACAAAAAAAAATTTTTTTTTATTGCTTTTAAATGCATGCAACTAAGAGATTAATCCGTACAAGTAATACTTAGAAAATTTAGGAAATACTAATAAACATAATACTTATTAAAATTAAGGCCAAAGTTGGTGTTAAGCTTAGACAAGCATTATAAGTAACATTCTTCATAGACCTTTTTATTAATACTTCCAAGGTTTCGACAAGTTTAATTTACTTTCTCACGGAGGGTTTGGGGTGTGGTTCTTATTAGTAAGCCGTACATAAGTATGCAAATTGATTATCTTCAAATTTTATCCCTAAAAATTGCATTTGTCATACTGAACGTACAGTACAACAATGCGTAAAAAAAAAAAAAAAATCAATTTTGGTCTGCGATAAATAAGAATACATGATTGGATTTTAATAATTTTGGGCACAGTGTTGGACGATGACAATATCATAGTATCATGTGATATGAGTGAATACCTGGAACTTGAAATTTGGCTCCTAAAAAATTATAATCGGCATTTTGCGTAATTTCAGTATATACAATTGTATATTGCTAAAATTACGCAAAATGCTAATCATAATTTTTTTAGGAGCCAAATTTCAAGTTCCAAGTTTGCAATCTAACACACTCATAAAATCATATGAATCATATGCCATATGATACAGATCCATGCCATATTATTGCCGTGCAATCGGCCTAAGTTAGATTAGGGTTAGGGTAAAATTACGGCAAAGTTAGGAGTTTTTTAGGCAAATTATTGCCGATCATTTAATGTTAACCTATATAAAAAATCGGTTCAGCTCACTTCACCGACGCTCGTTTCGTTGAAATAACATGTCGGTGAATTGTTGTCGGTGAAATGTTATTTCTACGAAACGAGCGTCGGTGAAGTGAGCTGA